AATTTTCGTTTTTGACAGGTTTATCTGCTATCAAGGTATGAAAACTGTTTGTTATTTCCTCTTCAGTTTTGCTTGCTAGCCCCATGAGTGCAGGAAGTCTTCTTAAATTAATTGTTTTCGAGTTTCTTGTCAATGAAACGACTCATTTTCAGTGAATAAGCAAAAGCAAGCATGATAAGCTTTTGTAAACAGGATCGGCTCTTATTCAGTGACACATCACCTGAATAAATATTTAAAACCTGTTTTACTTGAAGTATTAGCCACTGTTGCAAGGACAACTACAGAGCATGTCGCATTCCAGTGGGGTAACTGGTAGCCCTGGACCTTGCATGCAGCCAGCGTCTCTTTCTGGTCTGTCTGCGTTTGCAACTTCTTCAAGCCAGCAGTACAGAATGATCGGACCAGATGGGCCGCTTGTAAGTGTTTCTGTCGCATCGTTGCATCCTTTTGGCTCATGCCTAAGCGAACGGTTACAGCAAACCCTGTCCAGTCGTGCCACTGTTGCAGGTGCTTGTCCGGGAGGCAGATTCTTTGGTTCGCAGACTCCTCGTTTGTCGCAGTCGTCGATAGTACCAATGTCCGGTTCGCAAATGAACTTTTCTCAGCAGCAACGGGATCCGCAGGGTTCTCCGTTCGTTGGTCAGGCGGCAACAATGCACATGTCTTCGTCGAGTACGGTCAAAGTTGAGCAAGTCTCACCACCAACCGCCGTGCAGCTGGTTCAGTCAGGGCAGGTCGGTGGTCACGGTCAACTGCAGTCGCAGTCGAGCATTTCGACCACTGCCCAGCATTCGGTACTCGCCAATCAGCTACATAACGTCTCCGCCGGTTCAGCACAAGGTACCATTTACCTAACGGTCAGTTCCGTTTGTGACGAGTGAGTTTTAGGACAGTTTCCAAGGACGGCTTTGATCTTGCAGCAGCAACCTTCCACTTCCCTTCTGATACAGTCGAGGCAGGCGATTCAACAGCAGCCTGCTGTCAGCCAGAGTTTGCCAACTACCATATTCACGCCTGCCGTTCTTCCGGTTACGAACGAAGCTCGTACGCCATCCGGTGACAAGGTTAGTGCTATTCTGTAGGATTATCGTAAACCTTATTATTTCCGAGACTCGAATTTTCTTACACTAAATCGAAATTTTCATTTAAGCGGTGTTGTTGTAAATTGCAGCTTGAAAATACTAATTTTTTCATAACGTACTTTATTATTTCTGTCTCTATCTTCCCTCCTAGCAGAGGACTGTTTAAGCATGCTGCCGCTGCATGGTATTTTGAACGGTTCCCTAAACTATTTTAAGCAAGGAGCCGATGCGACGACGCTGAGTGAATCCAGATAAGTGACCGAAGATTGTTTTTCTTGCCAGCTGTACCGAAAACTTGCAATTTACTAACAGTCCCATAATACCGGATTAATTTTTATCTCTAAGTAGTTAACAAACTGTTAAAGGCATAAATAATAGACTACTTTGCATTAGTTACAAATAACTGGTTCACTTATTTTGCTTTGTTTAATATTGCTTCCCGAAGGCGAAGCGAACATGATCTGAAAGTTGGAGTTTCTCTACATCGTGAGATTAATGTTTTGTCATTCCGTAAATCATTTTTGCAGTTTCTGATGAAATATTCGCGTTAAAGATTAACTTCAGTTTTTAAACAAATTACAGTGGTACCTCGAGTCACGAATAACTCGACCCACGAACACAATTTCCGAACAAACTTTGACTCGACCTGCGTACAATGCCTCGACGCGCGAACGCACAAACATGACTTTGGGGTAAGCGGACAAAAGCCCCCCCCCGTGAACAAAACAAATTTTGACTCGATCCGCGCACAATGCCTCGGCGCACGAACGCCTAAACATGACTTTGGGGCAAGCAGACAAAAGCCCCCCC